TTACTGAGTGAAGGGAATGTGATCGAAGTGGGGGAACTGAGTAATAAATCACAAAGCAGAATTCTTAGGTCATCATGAATGGGCTAGACAGAGAACAAAAGCACTCAGCTAAACCCACAGCCTAGAAAGAACAATCTAAGTTTAAAGTCTCATGAGGGAGTGATGCACACTTGTAACCCTAGTTACTTGGAAGGGTGAAACAGAAGGATCAAAAGTTTTGAGGCTAGCCTGCGCAACACACAAGACCCTGTTGCAAAATTTAAAAATAGGATGGGACGTAGCTCAGTGGCACTGTGCTTATCTAGCACACACAAGGTTCCCAACTACTACAGAAGAAAAAACTTAAAAACTCATGAGGGAAGGAAGAAAATTTTTAAAAATCATGAAGAAATAGGACTTCATAAATAGGTCACCATAGAAACATATAAAAAGAACAGTAAAAGTGTGATATCAATGTCTCATCTGCTAAGATGATTCTTACTCTCTGACTTTATGTTTTTTGAGGTTTTTTTTTTTTTGGTTTGTTCTGTATTTTAGGCAAAGGTCTACAGGGTATTCAGGATCTCACTACTAGATCAGACTTGTAGTGATCCGTCTGTTTACAGCGTCCCAAGAGCTGGGATTACATGACTTACTGTTTAATTATTTATACATTTAAACTAATAATGGCAGAGGTGTGTAAAAATAGAACAGAAATTAGTCTCCTAGAGGCTCCTATATTCTAAAACGGGAACATCAACTCTAGCTCTACTAAAAGTAATGTGAATGTCATTTGAAGGACTAAGCAACTGAAGAGTGAAAAATTCAAGAACCATGTCACTAATGATATTTTAAAACTAAGATAGCTTCCTTTAAAATTTGTTTAAGGGGCTGGTGAGATGGCTCAGTGGTCTAAAGCACCTACTTAGAACAAGCTTAGCAAAGCACAGGGACCGCAGTTCAATCCCCCAGCACCATATGCCAGCCAGCCCCGCCCCCTGGTGGGCTGAGCTGGCCACACACACACACACACATAAATAAATTTTTTAAAAAATAAATAAATAAAAATAAAATTTGTTTTAAAAAACTTCTAATAGGGGAGATAGCTCATTGGCATAAGCACCTGCCTGGCAAGTGCAAGGTTCTGAGTTCAATCCCTGGTACAAAGGAACAAAAAACAAAGAAACAAAAAACTAATATATGATTCTCTCCCTTTCACTCATACCTGAAAATTCCTGCCTTATTAGGTAAAAATTTTTGGGATACAAAATCAGTAAGGAAACACTGTATACATAAATGTAGGTAAAAAATTATTCAGTACAAGCCACAAAAAAGGATTGCTGAAAGACCTCGACACTGTCAAATTTAAAATAAATTTATTCAATAAATATTTACAGGGGCTGGTGAGATGGTTCAGTGGTCTAAAGCACCTACTTAGAACAAGCTAAGCCAAGCAAAGCACAGGGACCTGGGTTCAATCCCCCAGCACCACATGCCAGCCTGCCCGCCCCCTGGTGGGCTGAGCTGGCCACACACAAAATAAAAAAAAATAAACAAATAAATATTTTAAAAAATAATAATAAATAAATAAATATTTACAAAGGCACTTAATGTAATCCAAGCACTGTTAGTCACTGGGAATTCAAAAACAGAGAGAAATCAAATTTTCCACAGGTACCATGTTAATCCACAGCAGAAATATTGTAATCTATTCAATAATGCTTATACTCTTAATAGTCTTCCACTATAAAGTTTGAATACCAGTAAGGATATAAGCATAGTTACCAATATGGCAAAAATTTCAGGCATGTAGCTAGGGCTAGCTCATATCAGGATAACACCTAGTGTGGTGGGCTTTCTTGGGAGTAAATAGTACAGTGATACAAGAAAGCATTTCATTATCCTTTACTCAGAAGACTGCAACCTCGGATTAAATTTTCAACTAAGTGTAAATGCTATAGTCTGAAAAGTACAAAAATATATTTCTATGTTTTATTATAGATAAGATTGAAAAAAATCATTACAAAAAAAAATTTAAAAATCATTACTTACCAATTTTGTTCTTTCCTTTGCTTTATTAACTGAACAAGCTCCTTGTCAAAATATTCTTCTTCCTCTTCTTCTCCCTTTCCATCTTCTTCTCTTTCCTTGGCATCAACATTATCTTTGTGTAACTGGCCAGAAATGTGCTTTGCATATGCAGAGAGTCCCACTATTGTTACCCCGCATACACGGCAATCATGACTACTGTCCCTAGGAAGAGAGGGAGACGAGGGACATTCAATTCTCCCCACTGGCATGGCACACTCACAAGATGTGTTACAGTTTCCTCTGAAAGACACTGCACAGTTTGGCACAGTGGAAAATTAGTGCTCATCAATTTTAATGCTCCTTTCATCACTTTTAATAGGTTTGTTCATAAGTTACTTTTGAAATGAATTTTATATTCTTTTCCAGCAATCAAGAGGCAATACACTTCATATTAATGTGCTTTAGGAGAGATCTTCTTGAATTGCTGTATTAAAATCTTGCCAGAGGAAATGTGGTGAAAGGGGAGGCAGGGCAGGGGGCTCAGAGCAAACACAGGTTGCTCTGGAGCACACCCATGGTGCCAGCTGCACTCAGAAAGCCTGGAGACGGCGCTTGGATTTAACCTCCTGCTCTGGAGAGCTCTTCCAGTCAAAGTTAAGGGGTGGAGAAAAGAGTAGGTGGCTCAGCCAATCACAGCAAGTAGCTAAATCGAAATAGCTGGCACTCTGCCTGGAATGTGGAAATTCTGATAGGAGTCATCCTCAGCAGCTTTTTTTGATCTGGGATAACACACGTGACCTACACTCTGCTTCAGAAGGGTTTCTTTTACAAAGGGAATGGAAAGCATTTCAGATGTGGGACATTAACAGCTGCGTCAGGCAAATGTTTTTTCTCAAGTTTCAGAAAAGACTATGGTTCAGTGAGAGGCAAAACTATGTTTTTATTTAAACTGGACAGATTAATTTTTTTTTTCATTTGCTTGACACACTTAATGGTGAAATTCATACTTGACCAGTTTTAAGAAGCTAAAGTCCTGAAATCTACTCCAGGCCTGTAAGAGAACAATTTTACCATTCTCTGGTAAAAAAATCCCTTGATGGATCAGCTGTCTATGCAGTCACTGACGAAAAACATCTGAATGCCATGGCTACAGAGTGGTAGTATCCATTCAAAACTCCAAACTGTCTTGATGTCATACCATGTGTCTTGAGTTTGTATTAGTTATATTTTTGTACTTCCTACATCAATCAATTTTTAAAAATCAACATAAAAACATGCTGCCTTTGGTGAGACAGAAATACACACTCATGAGCGCCCTTTCTTGTCTTCTCACATACATCTACCAGACAGGGGAAGAATTTAAACTGATTAAACCAGAAGAGACCCATTGACTAGAAGACAATTATGTTATAGATCGCTTAAATAAAACGAAAAACCAGGGGCTGGTGAGATGGCTCAGTGGTCTAAAGCACCTACTTAGAACAAGCTTAGCAAAGCACAGGGACCGCGGTTCAATCCCCCAGCACCACATGCCAGCCAGTCCCGCCTCCTGGTGGGCTGAGCTGGCCACACACACACACACAGACACACACACACACACACAAATAATTTTTTAAAAATATTCTAAAAAAAAAAAAAACGAAAAACCACCTTACTAAGCAACTACTATATGTGAAGAACCAGAATCACCCAGGATAGCAAAGCATAAGCATTTGAACAATTCCCAGTAAGTTTGCAATACATTTATTTATTTATTTATTTAAGATAGTTCAGACTGGCCTTGAACTCACTATGTAGCCAAGACTGGCCTCCAACTCACAGAGGTTCTCCTGCCTCAGCCTCCTGAATGCTGGGATTACAGGTGTACTCCACCACAGCCAGCTATATCACAATACTTAAGGGATGCAGCTCAACAGAAGGGCACTTGCTTATCATTAAGACCCTATGTTTGGGACCGGGTAGATAGCTCAGAAGAGTAAGTACTTGCCTGGCAAGTGCAAGGGCCTGAGTTCAATTCCTGGTTCTGAAAAAAAAAAAAAAAAAAAAAAAACAAACAAACAAACAAACAAAGTTTTGGGGCCGGGGAGATGGCTCAGTGGAATAAGCACTTCCCTGGCAAGGGCAAGGTCCTGAGTTCAATCCCTGGTTCCGCAAAACAAAACAAAAAAAACCTACAAACACAGTACTGTTTCTTACTTTTATAAGCATCACAAGAAGAGAAACATCTATGGAGACAAGTTTAAAATTTTTCAACCTTTTTTGGACTTTGTAACTCAAATTCAAATGTTGGGTATTTTAAAGACTTTTTATTTTAATGAGCTGTGATCTGATTACTCTGAATAGCAAGATCCAATTCCTTCTAATCCCACAGGCACTTCAACACATTATTTTCATTGAGAGTTTTCAACCGTACTTATTACACTTACTACACCTATATACTTAAAAATAAAAGTAATTTTCAACTCTTCCCAGTTTTCAAGGAATAGCAAGTAAATTGATGATAATTTATCCTAAGTGAATATTAATTTGAAAAAAAAAATGTTTGAAATAGAACACAAGCTATTTCTCACAGCAACACGCAGTTAAAAATATAAACTGATCCACAATGGGCAGCATATCTAACTTACACTTGTAACAGGAATTCAAATCAACTTAATTTTCCTTTAACTGAATGTTTCCTTTTTAACTAAATGTTTTTGTCTTATAATAAAAAAAGAAAATGCTTTTGCCTTAAAACGTTTTTGTGTGTGTGCAGGATCTCACTGCGCAGCTCAGACTCAGTGATCCTCCTACCTAGTACCTGGATTATAGCCCTGCACTACCACGCCTGGACTCCATCGCTGGCTCAGCACACCCAGTGGTGGGGACAACATGGCACGCAATGCCAAGGATCAAACCCTGCCCCCTGTGCTTACCTAAGCAAGCACTTAGTCCACTGAGCTATCTCTCCGGCCCTAAAACATTTTTTTAAAAAGTATTTATTTGGAGGGGCTGGGGAGATGGCTCAGTGGAATAAGCGCTTCCCAGGCAAGTGCAAGGGTCTGAGTTCAATTTCCGGTTCTGCCAAAAAAAACAAAAAAACCAAAAAAAAATTATTTATTTGGTACAGGTTCTCATTATGCAGCACAGACTTATAGTGATCCTCCTGCCTCAGCTTCCCCAGTGCTAGAATTACAGGTGTGTACCATCATGCCCGGTTTTGGTGGCTGGTACAGCATGCCTGGGTTGTGGGGCCGGCATAGCATGCAGTACTATGGGAATCAAACCCAGGTCCTTGCACTTCCCAGGCAGGTTCTTAGACCACTGAGCTATCTCCCCAGCCTGTTTTTTGTTTTTAACTCCCTAAAATCATGTTTCCTACCTTATATGATGCTAAACTCTGTATTATAGTAGTAGTAACATTCTATGAGAAGTTTAGTACAATCCTTAAAAGATTTTTTTTTTGGCACCAGGGATTGAACTCAGGACCTTATACTTGCCAGGCAGGCACTTATGGCACTGAGCTATCTCCCCAACCCCCTTAAAAGATTCTTAAATAAAATTCTTGATTTTATCCTTGTTTCTAAAATACATGATGTTGAAACTGGGCTTCATAGGGAAGGTTCTAATTGCAACCATATAATCTCTCTTCTATACACAACAGGCATTCATGTTTCAATATGTATTTGGGAAGCCATGTTTTCTAAAAACTTAATAGCAAACTAAATACTTACTGACGACACTTATCTAATCTTTTACTAATAACCAGTTTAAATATCCTGTCTTAGTGCATAAAATGAGGTTTATTTTTTTATTTTGGTGCTGAGGACTGAGCCCAGGGCTTCTAGCTTGCCAGACAAGCATTGTACCACTAAGCTAAATCCCCAGCCCTAAGTGCATAATGATTAAAGAAAAATGAGCTGGTTTTGCTTCTAACCAAGTAAGGTAACAATTTAACTGAGGGGGTTGAATGGCGCAAATCAGCTTCATCCTGTTACCACACAATTTCTTCTCACATGTGAAAGGCAGTCTTAGATATTCTCTGCATAAGCTTTTCTTTATTAAGCTTGCTCTAACTACACACAACAGCTGCATGATAAATAAAGATTTGAGTCTTTTTAACAGCATCTATCTGGAGAAAATACTTAAGAGACCGCACATCTGAACAAATGTGTGATGAAAAGTGCTACAGATGTTTGTAACAGTGAACCAAAGCAGACCAGTTACTTCCTTTTCATTCAAGTTTGCATTAAAAGCTTAAAAAAATAGGTAATTTACAATTCCTCAATAGATCACAACTACAAATTATAGATATAACTATAAACAGAAAGTCTTAACATCAGAAAGCCTACATATAATTAAACATGAAATTCAGAGGAAATAATCAAAAACTTAGCAAAATAGGAAAAAGGAATGACTGGATGATTCTTTGTCCCTATGGCACAAAGTAGTGATGACTGTTTGTCCTTACATAATTTTATGTGGTTATCTTGTTTTGTTTTGGTTTTTTGTATTGGGAATTAAAACTCAGGACCTTGCACATGCCAGGCAAGTGCTGTGTTGCTGCCCCTGGCCCTATATTTATTTATTTATTTATTTATTTATTTATTTATATTTTAGGGAAAGGTCTACAAGAGCTGGGATTACTGGCATGCCACCACACCAGTGCCAGTCTCAGTCTCAGCGAGCCCCAGGGGTGGGGCCCACATGGCAGGCCCGGGGATCCAACCCTGCCCCTGTACCTGCTTGCAAGTGCTTTAATCTGCTGAGCTATTTGGCTGGCCCTACCTATGTGTTTGTTTTTTCACATTTTTGTCAGATTTTTTTCTTGCTATCTATGCTGTCTCCCTTCTCCACTTTTATAGTATTTCTTGTGATACTGGTAATTGAACCTAGGGCTTTCACACTGAGTTGCATCTCCATTCTTTGCTTTATTTATTTTTATGTTATTTAGTATAGGATCTACAGGGTCTCACTACACAGACCGGACTCATAGTGATCCTCCTATTTTCAGCCTCCCAAGTGCTAAGATTACAGACACAGGGCACCACACCCAGTCTCAATCATCACTGTCTCAACATGCCCTGGGGTCAGGGCTGGCACAGCACACCAGGGATTGAACCCCAGTCCCTGCACCCTGATCTACTGAGCTATTTGGCTGACCCTCTTTGCTTTATTTTTAATGTTGAAGGGCCAGGAAGATGGCCCAGTAGAATAA